CCATCGCTAGTAAGGTGGAGGCCATCGCTAGTAAGGTGGAGGCCATCACTAGCACTGTGGCGGCCATCGCTAGTAAGGTGGAGGCCATCGCTAGTATGTTGGAGGCCGTCGCTAGCAGGTTGGAGGCCATGGCTAGTAAGGTGCAGGCCATCGCTTGAGGTGGAGGCCATCGCTAGTAGGATCGCTATTAGGTTGGAGGCCATCACAATTAGGTTGCAGTCCATTGCTTCTAGGTTGGCGTCGCTATTAGGTTTGAGGCCATCGCTTGTAGGGTGGAGGCCATCACTATTAGGTTGGAAGGCATTGCTATTAGGTTTGAGGCTATCGCTTGTAGGGTGGAGGCCATCGCTATTAGGTTGGAAGGCATTGCTATTAGGTTGGAGGCCATCTCTTGTAGGGTGGAGGCCCTCACTATTAGGTTGGAGGCTATCTGTTTGCCATCGCTACTAGGTTCCTTTTGCTATTAGGTTGTTTTTTTGTGCCGACCTTTGCCTCCCTACTTAATGGAGTAGGTGGCGACCTAAGAGTAAACACGCTCCTTGGCTCCGGATAGCTCACGCTTCTTCAAGGAAGCTCCCCCCAGCCCTAAAGGCGACGGGGGCAGCTTCCTTGAAGAAGCGCCCACACTATTCATTTGGTTCCTAGATTTTTAGGGAAACTCAATCTTTTCATATGGGCGCGAACCTCACTTTGCTCACAGATCTTGGAGAACCCAGAGATCGGTCACGCTTGGGTTAATGCCTCAGGCCAAAAAAAAGGCATACGGTTCGAACATGTAGGACAGCTACATATAGAAAGTTCTTTGAGCGAGATGGAGAAGTCCGGTGCTTTGAGGTTGCAGCTGGCCGGTTGGGTGCCTTTTTTAGCTTGACAACTTCGAATGCTGGATCACTTCTAGCCTTGGATCCCAGCTTCAAACGAGTCGAACATGTGATGAAAGCTTTCGATGAAAGCTTCCACGTGTTCATGAGAACTTATTCCTCCAGGTTCATGAGGCAGGTGGCCTTGAGGATCAAGGTGCCATAAATACAATGTCTTTCGCAATCTTGCATTGTCGTTCACCTTGCATTCGCATTCTTTGTTTTGTGGAGAAAGAATTTGCCAACAAAGGGATCCTCGGAAGCTTGAGACTTGGAGGGAGCGAGTTGTGTAGAAGAGAAGGAGAGAAGGAGAGACAGACAGAGAGAGAGAGAGAGGAGTTTGCTAAGTAACTAACCTAATAGCGGTAACCTTCAACCTAAGAGCAAAGTTAGCAGCCAAAGTAGCTGAGCTAAGTAACTGAGAGCGAGCTAAAGCTTAAGGCGGGAGAGACGGTGACATGTGGAGACCGTCCTTTCCCTGTGAGGCGTCTCGGCCCTGAGTTCTGATCTTCGGGATCAGGTCGTTGAAGTCTCGGCCTTAGGGCCTTAGGGGTTTGCTGTGACGTACTACAGATGTTTGCGTTGTACACATGAAATATTAACTATACATCTTATTTGCTATGTGTTTTTTATTTTACTTTGGTTCCTTCCTTGCTTTTAACCCTTCCCCGTCCTAACCAAGGCTTTGCGTGAAGCAAAGGTTTGGAAGTGAAAACGGCGAGTGCTCAAGCATGTAGTGGTTTTAGTGAGTTGCAACATATCCAAACCTTTAAACCTTTCCGTCGAGATCCGATCGATGTCAGCTTTGCTGGCTCTTCAGACCTGCCCCAAGTTTAATCACACAGCACAACCCTCTTTGGTCCCAATCATCCTAGTTCATACCCATTTCCAAGCTTGAACAGCGGTTTGATGCTGTTTGATGCTGGCTGTTCACTCATTTTTGGAGAAAGTATGAAGATCAGCTCCACTCCCATGATTGGCTCAAGCACTTGGTGTAAAGTGAACTGTCTTAGCAACATCAGAGGCCAGCTAAGAAAGAAGAGACACGACAAATGGCAGACTCTTTTCCCCCAACTTGACAGACACTCAAAACAACTTCTCCGTGGCTGTTGAGCTTGGCGGATTTGTCCCGAGCTCGTCAGTGGCGCAATGACGAACATTCAATCAGAGACGAGTTTGAAGGCGGGGTGCCGGAGGTGAACGGAGGGAGGCGGTGAGATGAATTGGAAACTTAAAGGATGCTTTCAGGAACCTAATAGCTTCCAACCTAATAGGAATGGCCTCCATCCTACTAGCGACCTCCAACCTACTGGTTCCGATTCCCTGATATGCTTCATTAGTGTCCATTCCTTCTTAGTTTGCTTTCCGAGGTGAGATCAGGATGTGTGATGCTGAAGCAGCAAGAGTCTGTGACTCAAAGTTTGACTTGAATTTCCTCATACTGTCTGATGGAAATCAGCTGAGCTTGAGTCAACGCTTACTGGAGTGTTCCTGAGCCTGACTCCTGCAAAGACGTCAAAGTTGAAAAGATGACATGTCAGAGCCACAGTGCTGACATGCCCACTGGCTACGATGGTGCTTGTCTTCCATTGTGTCGAAATGAAAAGGAAAAGAATTGAGCAACGAATTGAGCAACTTGGGTTTCTCGTGCTCTTGGCGAGCTTGCCGCTGCATGGTGTGACAAGGTCTTGACGGCCAGATACAGAGAAAAGAAATGTGGCTTTACTCCGGTTCGTATAACAAGAAGCTACTAGTAGCTCCTGGCACTACTACTAGGAGCAAGGGGACACTACTAGGAACAAAGGGCATCGCTACTAGGAGCAAGGGCATCGCTATTCGCTCCTGGCCAACACGAGACCGCAGAAAGGTTTCCAAGTACCAAGCAAGTGATGCAGTGCAAAAAGAATCTCTTGAAGCGGTATTTCAAGAAGCGGTATGTTCCTCCCTAGATGTTGATGTCAACAATAGGCCGTCATGCTTGGTTGGCGGGGCAAAACAGCCCCTTTCCGGTGCTGAACCTGGTCGCTTATAAGCAAGCTGAACCAAGACTCCTCTTTCTTTGGCATTTGCAGCATTCAACCTGTTTGGTGCCAAGGAAGGAAACAAACTACGGATATTCGAGGTTGAGCGTACTCAAAGTCACAGTTCTTCGCCACTAACTGCGACTGGAGCTCAAATGCCGAGGTTGGGCACCCCTCCAGCTCCAAGACATGCAAACACTGTTGCTTTGAGGAAGCTAAATCTGGGCCTTCAGAAGCAAAGGTTGCCAAAATGAAGCTGTTTGTGCTAGCAGTTGCAGCCAGAATGCGTCGAAGCGCTTGCTATGCACAAATATGGCACTGTTCAAAGCGGCTGTCATGCTTAGTTGGTGTTCAGGAAGTACACTGTTCTTCAAACATTGCACCCAATCGATCGCTGATAAGCAAGCTCGACCAAGACTCCTCCATTCTTGGCATTTGGCACTCCAATTTCTAGCGCCAAGAGATAAAGCAAACAGGGTAATAAAGCAAACAGGGTAAGCACGTTGACCATACTTAGAGTTGCACTTCGTCCTCGGGTCCTCGGTCAAAGTGATTGATATTCAGTTCTCTATAAGTTTACGTGGTGTTCATCCATCTCCAACACATCACATCCAAGGTTCTGAGCGCTCTTTTTTGTTTCTTTGAATCTTCGGAAAGGAAGACTTGTAGCAAAGTCTCTCTCCCGAAAGCTACCTGACCTGAATCACCGAAGGCACAAGCAACTGCGATACCCGCAGAGGAGAGCTTTTGCCCACCCGCGCTCACGTTGGTGAACCAAGAGAAGCAAGCAAAAATCGGAGCAAAGCAGACTTCACGAAGTGCGGCTAAGCAAAGTTGTTGTTTAGAGGTTGCCGAAATCCACTCTCCACTGCTTGGCCGTGCTCGGTCCTGGCCTGCAAAAAGTCAAAACGATGCTTGAGGGGTTTGCGATGACCGTCCCTGATGCAGCAGTAGAACAAGACATGGCCGTCCAACAGCACATGAAACCGAAAGCGCACTGACTGTGTCTTCATTCCTTCACCTGGCAAAAGCGAAGCAGCCAACACCCGGCCTCGAGTAGGCCTGGCCTGGCCGTAGACCCGGCCTGGCATGTTGGCACCGGTGAAGTGGCCCACCTCGGTGAGGTCTTAGGGGCCGCTTTTGTTTCTAATAGCGTCCTTGTTACTAGTAAGGCACTTGTTTCTAATAGCTTCTTGTTACTAGAAGCGATGCACTTGTTCCTAGTAGCTGTAAAGTCCTTAAAGTCAAACCTAGTGGTTTTGAGACATGAGAAGCTGATGGGGCCGTGCTTCGCTGATGATGCAGCATAGCTGAGAACTGACAATGTGACACAGTCCTAGAATATTGCTTAGTAACTTGCCAACTGTTGGACTAGACTTTCCGTACGGGCTGATGACATTGGCTACGTCACAGCAACACGTGACTGTTGCGAGGACTCCGATTTTCATGAAGCGCAGACGGACGGAGGTTATCGGGAGTCGGACAAACGTACACCAGATCGCGTTTGGCTTTTTGATGCAAATTATGCTTAAGAGCCATGATGGCCAAGGTGAAGCTTGAAATTTATGTGCTTCGGTTTGGATTGATTGGATGCAAGTCTGAACAAGCCCCAAAACATGGTCAACACAACAGCAGATGCAGTTTGAAACATGTTTGGTGTCCGATTAGCACTATCCGTAGCCCAAGGTTTTATTAGCCTCAAGCTGAAAATCAACTTGAACTACAAGATACTGGACAGAGCTGTTTTCGCAGAAGCTGTTGCTGCAAGCTGCAGAGCAGCTTCCGGTTCGCCTCCGCATTATATGGTTCAGCCTCTCGGTAATCCTTCGGCATAGACACCGATGCACAAATGGAGAGTGTTCCATTGCATCCATCGTATCATTCACTGTCCCTTTGATTTTGAAATTATGCAGAAGACAAGGAAGGACACCGCGAAAGGTACCAGTTCCTTCTATTCGTTTAAAACAGACGATGCTGGTGTCATCCACCTTCAAGTCAAGCTCTCTCAAGATCCACAGGCTTCAGGTGAGATGTCATCAGCAACTTGAGCAAGCTGTTGAACCAGCTTTGGGTTGCCGCCAACCCTCCCTCGCATTTCCTGCTAGAATTGCTAACATGGGCATGTTGCATATGTCCGTGCTGATTTGTGACGGTATTTTCCAGCAATGTTGGACACAAATTTGCTTTCAAGGTGGCATTCCACTCTGTGCTTGTTCGGCAGGCTAAGGCGGCTGAGGGCTGACACATTCTGTGCCACTTTGAGAAGTCAGACACCGTTTTGCAAGTCACATAAAATGTTGTGAAAGAAACGCTGTCTTGCCATTTGTCCTCTTGCTGTTATTCCTGCCCTCTATTGGTCGTGCATCAACGATCTGTGAGACGGACGAAAAGAGTCCATCAAACAGCCAGGCCTTTGCAGCGGCCAGGTCTTCTGTTCGTTTAAAGATTGAAGTCTTCTTTTCGTGCTTTGTTCTTCAAGAGGTGAAGACGTCCAAGACCTAAGATCTGTCCAGGCGTAGTCGAGTCCGATTTTTTCAGGCTTCCAGATTCTTGTTCCGACAGGATGCACATGATAGACGATATACCAGACATACCATTGTGAAGTCGCTTTAAAAGATGCTTTTCGAAACGAATTTGTCAGGTTTGCGTGCAGTGATGGGCCCGTGCCAGTGATTCCCATTCCACTCCGGAAGAGAGAGACTGGAAAGAACAAAGGTAGAGTCCGCAAGATTCTGCTGAGACACGAAAGCAAGCATTTCTCACCCAAGCACCTTTCGATCTCCACATAGTTTGCAAATAGCAGATGCGGAGTGACAAGCTCAAGCCGCTTGTGGCCTGTCTTAATTCCTGTGAATCAGATCATTCGGATCCTTCCGAAGCGATGGACGCATGTGACGATGTCGATGTCCATGCGGATCAAGTCGGATCGAGTCAGATCGAGCACCAAGACGTTTCAATGCCCCCCTTACCCCTAAAAGCAATGGCCTCCAGCCAAGACTCGTATCGCTGTCGTCTCTAAAGCTCCACCTCCAAGAGTTGTTGGAGGCATTCTCGTGAGGAGTGTTCAGAGTTTCTTCTAACACATGGACCCATGGATTATATTTTGGCTGTGCGTGTGGGACATTCTTCAAGTGCTGTCCAGAACTTGTTCCTGCGCAAACCTGCCAATCGAAATTTGCTGTGTGAAGCCCTCAAGCTGTAGACGAGACGCTTCCGTGAGAAATTTGACGCTGACACTTGTTCTCCTTGCTTCTGTGTGGCACAGTTTGCAGGGCTTGCAGGGCTTGACTTGTCTCTCGGAGGGATAGCACACCTGCGGTTTGTTAGACTGTTAGACCAGTGATGGTGGTGCAGCTAGTCTTCAGAAGCAGAAGGGTTCCTAGAGAACTCAAGCAGTTCTTGCTGAAAGGAACATAGCAAGTATAGCAAGCAAGACTAGGGGCATCAGTGGGGTTTTCTAGTGACTTTAGTGTGATTTGAGTCTTAAGTTTCGAGCAGTTTGAAAACGTTGACATGAAAGAGCTTTGTATCCCATTTTCTTGGGCGCGAAGACTCCGAAGAGTGACTGTAAGGATGCCAAAATATGATGAATATGTTCTTTGTCACACTTCCACAGCGCTTGACTTAAAGTTGAATATGCTTCACTCTGAGTTTGAGCAGCTTGAGCCAGACTTTCCGCTGAAAATATGAAGGA